CCTATCTCCCTGATTTAAAAATTTGAGATTAGAATGAAAAGTAATGCCTCCAATGTATAAGTTGCCAACAGATGGCAGTACTGATGTACCTGAAACTCTGTTATGCTACTCATCATCTTTTTTCTCCACTTCAGTTGACAAGGAAGTTGCTGTGAGAAAAAGTTGTGTTATTACTGTTTATGAAATGGAAGCCTACATGAGCAATTGTCAATTCATTTTAACCATCATACTATGATTGAATTTTTAAAAGCGTAGTCTTTCCAATTCATGTTGACATCAATACTATATAATACTGGATCAAAAAAATATAAAATTGATGAATGGGCCTTCTGCCTCTCTCCTCCCAATCCTGCCCTGCTGGGTCCCAGTAGGCCTTGGAATTGCTCCCTACTCATGTTTTGCCCATGGCACACTTACTTTTCAAGATCTCTGGACACAATTATAGCTAATCATCACTGGGCTGGATGGCTGCCTCCTGGAAGCAGCCACCATTTTCAGTGCACTTACAAATCGTTGCAGACATGCCAAAATGGTGGCTACTTTCAGGAGGGTGCTATGTGGGCTAGGATCAACTGTTTCATGCTGCTTCCCTAATGTGGTCTGCACAGTGCTGCTTGTTTCTGCTTTAAACTTATGATTTTCAGTAACATTCTGCCAATGAATCTGTTCTCCATAAAATATTTCTCTTTAAATTTCAAGGATGTTTAATTATTATAATGTTTTATACCAGTCTTCTAATCTTTTTCTTAGTTCTACAAATATATTGAACAATAACAATATTAGTATTGTTATAAATAAATAGGAATTGCAGTTCTGAGTTTAATAAGGATGAAATCCTTATTAAATATTATTTTATTATTTTTAAATAATATTTATTTATTTATTTATTTTATTTTATTTTATTTATTCTCCATCTCCATTTTGTTTGGAACCTGAGAAAGCACTTCCAGTCAACACTGTCTAGGCCAGGCATGTCAAACTCGCGCGACATATCAGAGCTTTTTCTCCATTGCCGGCAATGGGGTGGGCTCGGTTTTGGGATGACGCATCCAGCCCACGGGCCAGCAGTTTGACTCCCCTGGTCTAGGCTAATCAAGATAGATTAAAATCCTGTCCAATCTAGGTAATTTTCTTATGTTTCCAGTATTTTTAAGGCTGAAAAATTCACTGAATGTTGTAAGACGTCTATATAGAGAAAGGTGCATGCTGAAGTGAGCATAATACCTCAAACTAACCCCTAATCTTTATGACCATTGTAACTCTCTACACTGTCACTCTTTTATGTGCAACGCTGATTATTATTACTTCTGTATATAATTCTGAGCAATATGGATTTCATTGTTGTTTTCTGAAAGTAATCTTAATAGCTAAACACAAATATTAATGAGTTAAATTTACAGGAGATTTTTTTTTGTTATTCTATATCCCAGCAATTGATAACATTATATAGATGATTTCTAGTATTTATCTGTAGCATATTATAATATATGAATGGGATTACAAGATTGATACTTTCTAAAGAAACAAAACTTGAATTCCATGAACTCAAACCATTCAACATGAAATCAATTTATTATACGCTTTCAAAGAAACTATTGTACTATACCCAAATTACGGAATTATCATTCTCTTTATTTAATTTCTTCTATAAGTAGTCATGAATGACATATCATTAACAGTAAATAAAATATTCAAATACTTATACATCTAGAATTAATGAGGCAACTACTTAAAGAAATTAGGAACATTTTGCTAGCCTTAAGGATATTAAATAAAAAACTTATTTATTTAGAATTAAATTGACATTTTAAACAAGCTTTCTATGCTTTAATTATTTAGAAGAAATAATGCTGGGTTAGGTATTATATTCAGGTAAGTTAAAGGCATTAGATTATCTTCTATATTCTGCAAAATAAAACAGACAGCTGTTTAAAATAGTTAAAATTACACAATGAATACTTAATAGTACTTAGTCCCAGTATTAAGTGTTTAATGATAAGTTTATACAGGGATCAAAGAAGTCCTTTGCTATGTTTCTCTGTTGTTCAAAATCCTATGTAGAAGAAGGAAAGGAAAGTAGTTTTGCTCTCCATTCTTGCACTTTGGCTTTTGCCCTAATTCTCTAAATGCTGAATGAATAGGAGTTGGAGTGCAATGAAAGAAGAAGAAAAGAGCAATTTGCCCCTATTTTACAGCATTGTGAAATATCTTTCAACTTCATCCACCTGCAAATTTGCAAAGCATCTCTGATATATAAAAAGAAAAATGTAAGAACTTTTGGAAAAGCCAATTGCTGGTAAAATTGTCTCTGTGGGCAGGCAGGATGAATCTGGTGAGATAGTGAGACTAAAGAATAGCAGTGACAACTTGGAGAACATAGGTGCATCTGTCTATAATGTACTACTCTAAGGAAGGTTATTTTAGTCTTTGGCAGTAGAAGGTGTTGAATATGAAAGTATAAAAGAAAAGAAATGGCCTGGGGCAAAGTGCAAATATTCTTCCTTGTCACTCTTCAGGAAATATGTCTCTTAAGTTATAGTATCCCTTAAATTAAAGTCCCAAACAAGTAAGACTTCCTATCGTACCTGATATTAAAGTTACACAGATATGGAACAACTCAGAATCTTAAGAAAATCAGTCCTATTCAGAGAAAGCAAGTCTTCATTATTTAATGATGTTAAGATTAATCATAAAATTAGTCTTAAGATAAAGTTAAAATACTATGATATACCCATAGCTTAATTCTTTCTATGTGTAGGTCTATATTACCTACGAAGCTATAAATATGATTTTATTGAATATTAGGAAATTAAAGGAGAGATTACTCTTCAGTAGAGATAGATAGATAGATAGATAGATAGATAGATAGATAGATAGATAGATAGATAGATAGATAGATAGATTACAAATGATAAAGTAACATTTTTGTTTTTACATTGAGGAAATCTATCTACCTTTTTAGTTTACTAGCATATGGGTTTAAAATTCTTTATTGTCACTCTTCAGGAAGTATGTCTCTTAAGTTATAGGACCCCTTAAATTTAAGTCCCAAACAGGTAAGACTTCCTACCATACCTGATATTCAAGTTATACAGATATGGAACAACTCAGAATCTTAAGAAAATGAGTCCTATGCATGCTGTTTCAATCTAATTAAGCAATTTATTTAATATATAAATCTAATCTAAAAAGAATTTGTAGTGTTTACAATCAATGTTTTCTTCCTTATGGATTTCATAGCCTGAGTTTTGTAACTATTAGGTTGAAAGTAGATTATTTTATTGCAAAATAAAGCTGTACCTCTACCATCTTCAACACGGTTATTTAGTCCCCTTCTCTAATGCATCGCAATCCCCTTGCTTCTTAATTTTAATTCCACATGGAAGCATTTTCTGTTCCCAAAAGAATATAGAAAATCATTCCTTATTTCTTATATTGAAACTAAATGTCAGCTTTTTCTGATGTGAAATATGATCACATGAAGGTGACTGATTTATATAAATGGTTTGTCATGGAAACAGGATTTTGTAGTTTGTCTTGTTTTTGACTGAGTGAGTGATAAGTGCATAAACAAATTAATGCTGATTCAAGCTGTTTTACCACTCCCTTTCTGCATTCTGTATTCTTCACTGTTGTTTCCTACTGTTGTACTGTTACTTTGGAAAAAAATACCAAAGTTTAAACAGTTCTTTAGCCAAGTCCTATGAATTTTTTCTTGACATTTTCCAAGCTTTTGTCTATTTGCTTAATGCTAAATATCTAGACTATAACACTGCTTTGTTTGCTATTTCTAATAGAAGCAGAATTTGCCAACCCTAGGCATTAAGTCAAAGCAATCTGGATAAAGCTCAGTTCAGCAGAATTTCCCTGCTTTCCACCTCAGTCCTTGTCTGCCTGCCTGCTCCCTCTGTATATCTCAGACAAATTTCAATCAGTTCTCTAGTGTTTTTTTTTTAACTTTTAATGAAAAAAAAATTCAGCTTGACTTGTTTTTTAACCAGCATTCTGACTTGGTGTGATTCAAAAAGAAGCTGACCAAAGAATAATTTGTCTAGTCATATCACATCCTTGGTTATTTAATACAGTATATCAATCAAAGTCATGTCATTTGTCACTTTCATCACTTTTCAATTAGCTTTACTTTTCTTGTCAACGCTAGTCCAGCACCTGTTTTCATCTTTAATTTTCTATCTCACTGTTTGCCATGTTGCCAGCATGAGATATGCTTACAACAAATAATCATCTACTCCACAGCAGTAAGAGCTGGATGATGATGATGATGATGATTGGTTTACTTTATAACAGTATGATCACTTTGGCAGTGGAACCAAGTACTTAGAAAGGTGGTAAATGTACTCAAAGTTAGTTTGCTCAATGTGCTAGAGTGTCATTTGGATAGCCTTCTGATGCTCTAAGTTGGATTTCTACATTAAGCACACAGTTTAATGAATGTATTAAATAGTTGGAAAAATGATCTGCAGAGAATGGTAATGAAGATTCATAGCTAGCAGCTGCTGGGCAGTGTCATATTGATTCTTTGCCTTTTCTAAAATATGCCCAGTATGTAGCCATAAAATGCTATATAATATTCTCAATGATCTGAAAAAATCATGGTCTGTTAGTGAACTTGAATGGGTATCTTTTAAAATATTTTAATCTTCAGTTCATATAAACAATAGAGTTCTACACTGAAGGCTCATTTGACAATGAAAGTGAAGCAGGTAGAGAATTCTGCAGTGATTTCAGAAGTGTTTTAAAGTGATTACAACATTTGAGAAGATGTTTCTCTATAAGCTAAAGTAGCATGAAGAGAAGGTCATTACAACATTTATATTTTAGAAACTCACAATCTATTAACATTACATTTGATTCTTTAATTTGCTTTCTGCTCATGTTCTATTCATGTTCTGCATTAACTCATCAGTTGGTGGTAAGTTTGTGCTTTTTATGCATATTCAACAACATTCTTTAATTCAGTTTCTCTGTTTCTTCTCATGCAGTCTGACAGCCAGATATACAACTCAGTCTAATCACAGTGGAATTGCAACCAGTCAAAAAAAGCCTTCTAGGTCAGTTAACATCTCCAATTTATTGCTTGCTAGTGATGCTTAATAGAGTCACTGCCCACTGGCATTTTTATTCTCTGAGCCACAATAGATACTAAGGTATTTCATTATTATATTTCAGATGTAGGGCCTCCACAACCAGGCCACCCACACCCTACCACCTGTGTCTGGAAGGCAGAAGGGGGAGGCAGGGGAGAAAAGGGTCTCTGCCTGTCCACACCACTGTCCTCCTCACCTGAAGGCATGTTCCACCAGCGCTGCCATCACCTCCCAAGCATCTGCCCTGGGAAGCCCTGCAAGCCATTGCAGCTGTGGGGAAACAGATGATGGGATGGAGTGGGCAGACATCTTCAGTGGGTGTCTGGCAGGCAGAGGGAGATGGCAGGGGAGGCTTGTGCCACCTAGTCATGGCGCAAACCATGGGAGAGTTGGTGGAAAAGGAAATGGGGGCTGCCGCTGGGCAGTTGATCTGCAGGGCGAAATGGGGGTGGCTGGGACCAAAAAAAGCCCCTCCAGTGGCAGACAGGGCTGTTACATAGTGGCAGCAGAGCCTTTCACCATCAGTCCCCCCTCACTCCGAAATGGCAGAGGGGAACAGATAAGGGGACCGAACCTCCCCCCATCCATCCTCCATAGCATGACAGCTGGTTCAGAAGGGGAATGAAAAGTAAGATGCAGGAGGGCAGCTGGGTCATTGAAATGGCAGGAAAATCACCAAGAGAGGAGTGGCCTGTTTTTGGGGCCCTGAGGTAAGAGATGTGGGGTGCGTGGGAGAGTTTCATCCCCCTACTTGCCTCGCTTCACTTCATAGGAGTGGCACTGGTGCAGTGCATGCTCTCCTGACCTATTGTGGTCACAAGCAACCAGACACTGTGATGGAGTGGGCAGGCAGCTGCAAAATAAGGCATCCCCTGAAAATAAGCCCTAATGGGTCTTATTTGTTTCCCCCAAATAAGATTGAGTCTTATTTTGGGGGAACATGGTATTTGTTTTTTTTTCTTTTACCTTGGTTTATTGAATAAAGCATGTATGTTCAATTTTGCACCTACTACCAAACCAAAATGGTAGGTTCATACATTATATTCAGTAAAAAATACATTTGGTTAATTGACTAGTAGAGTTCTCATCCAACTTAACTCCCCCCCATTTTTTCATTTATTGTCTTAGCCTGAAAGAGGAGAAACTGAATTGTGTACTAGTGCTTATTCTGGATCACTACAATTGCATATTTTAAAAAGAAACCAGCCCTATGTATAATAGAGCAGTCTGTGAACTTGGGAATAGAGGTGCACAACTGTCTTCTAATTTGTTTTCCATTATCATTTTTCACATAAAGGAAGAGCTGTTAGAAAAGACTCTAGCTTTGCACTAAAACACACATTCTACAAATAAAATAGATTGAGATCCTGAAATATCTAAGCTGGAATAGGAAATAATCCTCCTTGATTCAAGAATCCCTGTCAATCTTGGTAGCTATGGTATTTATACTGAATATTGAAAGTACACTGGAATAAGAACAGTTTGTGCTTTTCTAGTGCATGTCAAAGACACTTAAAAAGATTTTAATGAAATAAGGTATTTGGGGGCAAGCATAATTTCTGTGAAAGTGACTAGAAACAGAACATACTTTGAGTGTAAACGGTACAGCTCTAAGTAGCCTGGATGTCAATGTATAACCCTGTCACTCTGCCAGTTTTTGTGGCTTTCTTACTTAGAATTACTACTTGCAGTTCATTTATTTCCTAAAGGAAGACACCTGGGTCCTCCTTTTGTGTTCAGTCTGTGTTGATTATGTGTATTCCTTGAAAAACAGTTCATTACTGGCAATGAACTATCAGTTGGGTAGTCCATGATTAAGTCATTCTGTCTGAGTTGCTAAGATAACACGAAATGAGCTATATCAGAGTGCAGTTGTTGTGCACCTGTGGTTGTAGATTTTCATTCTAATTTCTTAGGACGTTCTTGTTTCATTCACAATTTGTTCTGTCTGGAAATTAACAGTTGTTGTTTTTCAACTCTATAAATTTATAAGGATGTTTTGTAAACTTCTAATCAAAAGTATGTTTTTGTATATTATTGTTACTTTAAACTTTGCATTTCCTTTGTTGCTTAAAATGATTCTGTGGGTGGAATATCTATAAATGGAGTTATATATTTATTTATTCAATTTCTATATTGTGAAATATAATCTATATTTAGGTTACTAAACATTTGCATGCATTATATATATATAGTTTTCCTAAAAGTAGTTTAAAATCTATAAAAATCTATTTAAAATCCACTATTCAAAAGACAATTTTTCCTTAGGATTAGGGTTATTAAGCAGCAAATTTCACAGGGATTTTAATATAGTCAACTATAACTGAACTGGTAGTTGAAGGCTTTGTCCATAGACCATAAAATTTCTGTATTTTAAAAAAAATCCAGAAATGAAAAAAATCTGATCTTCTTGTAGCATAGACAAAAATAAAATTAAAAAAAAAACATCAGACTGCTCTTCAGAACATATCCTCCTGAAAGCTGCACACCTGGACATATACAGTAATACTGCACTTTATATCATAGCAATCAAATCTTAATTGGAAATATTAGCTAAAAGTTGCAATTCAAAACTGATTTTTTTGGTGTAGAAAAATGTCAAGGTTTTCTGGAGGGAATATAGTTAAAAGGAAGGCATTGAGAAATATTAAAAGTATGCTTTTTCTAGTTATGCTGTGTTATCTTTCAGTTATTGCTAATGGTGATAGGGTTTTTTTTAAAACAAAAGTATCTGACCTCAATATTAGTAAAATTCTATTGATGCTGCAAAATCTCTACATTTATGGACATAATTTAAAGTTATCTAAAATGGTTTTTTTTTCTTATCACTAAACCAGCTGTGAAATATACATAGCATAATGTGAGTTTGTAGACAGTGGCATTTTTATTACCTTTAGTAACCAGGAAGTTTCAGATGGTGGCAGCAAATACCAACAAATGCAATATTTAAGTGGAACTGGTGGATCATTTTAATACAGGGATTTTTATTTCCAGACCAAAGCTTCTCAACCACAGAAATCAGTAATCTCATCATCAAATACCTATCTATGAACAGGATAAAGAACAAAGAGTATTATGGTGCCTTAAAGCTTGCATATTTATTATTTATCAATGCCACAAGTATCTTTGTTGTTTTTGCCATCGCAGCTACCCTGCATCATATTTGTATGTGTATAAGAAATGGTTTACATAGTATATTCTTCAAATAAATTCTGTAAGATTGACTTATTATCTGGGAAAAAATTGGGAAAAATTGAATTGTATATGGAGCATCCAGCATCCATTATTTGTGCACTGTGAATGGAAAATGCAAAGAGTCCTTATGTGTTTGTTTGTGATCCTATAGAGTATCTATCCTCCATTTGTGCCTTTTGAGATTGATAATTCTGTGGTAGTGGCTAACTAACTTCGAAGTACATGAATGCTTGTTGTTTTTAATGAGGTCTATGGATTTATTTATGAAACTATGTTATTTTATACATGTTTGCAACTGCAACACACTTATTTCTGACTGTACTATTCTAGGCTTCCTGGGCCTTCAAGGGTGCCAGCTGCAGGCAGCAGTACCAAAGTCCAGGGAGCTTCCAATTTAAATCGAAGAAGTCAGAGCTTTAATAGCATTGACAAAAACAAACCTCCGCAATATGCAAATGGAAATGAAAAAGGTGAGTGCTTAATAGACATTGCCTTACTGAACCAGAAGCCTAAGGAGATGCCTCCACAATTCCTGACATTGCCCTGGACTTAAGCTTTGTAGAACTTTAAATTAACATATACAGAGCCACCCTGTTTCAAATATGATAACCAGAAAGCTCATTTTTTTTGAAAATGTGACCCAAAGTAACCATAAGATGTTGAAAATGTCCTATTTAAAAATAAGAAATATATATATTATAGTAAATATATATGTATAACTACAAGCAGTGAACAATGGGAAAACATTAGCAGATTTGCAAATACTGACACATATTACCATCTTCTGGCAAATTCTATATCTTTCACTTTTAAACACAATTATTGATAGAATTATATTAATAGAAGCATGCTGATTAATAATTTTAATTTTCAAGGTAAAGGAACATAAAATTTTAAGCACACACTATTTTTAAAACAATACATATTATGCTTACCACAAGGGGGGAGTAGATGTCTTTGAATAATAGTAATATCTTTGAGAACTCTTCTTGGGTGGGAAAATAACTTTATTACTTTTCACGATTGTCATTTGCTTGGAAGGTATGCATTTTTGCAGATTGGTTTTCTATAATATACCATGGATATTCTGGAGGTTGTCTGTATCTTATATATCACTGATAATCTTGGTGGTCTTCAGTAAGATATAGATTGAATGAATGACTTAATAAGCAAGAAAAGTCTATTGACTACAGAATTATTATTTATATAATCATAGTTGTGACAACTTTTTTGTGAAATTTTGTGAACAACCTGCCTCCAGAAGCGGTGAATGCTCCAACACTGGAAGTTTTTAAGAAGAAACTGGACAGCCATTTGTCCGAAATGGTATAGGGTTACCTGCCTGAGGAGGGGGTTGGACTTGATGACCACCAAGGTCCCACCCAACTGTATTATTATTATTATTATTATTATTATTATTGTTGTTGTTGTTGTTATATTACTATTATAATATCTACTTATCTGCCACTAATAAGAAATCTTATTAATACTTCAGAGATTATATATTTGGATTTTAATTGCCAGATTAATTGGAGCATTTTAAATATATATTTGCCTTCATTCATATTTTAAAAATAACACAAAATATCAGTTAATCAGTTTATAGTTAAAAATGATTCAAGAATAACATAATGCTTAGAGGAAAATTAATTTGCACAATTGTCCATAATTTATTCTTTATTTATTTTTGTATCTTTAACAAAACCTTTAAAATAATTATAATATCTGAATATTTTATGAGTGTTGTTTTTCATATCATTTGTGCTGAGTGCAGCTTAATCTTATAGCAACAGATTTTTTAAAGAGTATTAGCATTAAAAAAAATCAGTCTTATAACAGCAAGTCTATCTTATATTGTAGAGATAGATTTGCAGTAGTTTCCCAAACTATTTGCAGGAGGAAAGACTAAATCTATTGTGAAATTCAATTATAGCAAGAAATCAGAGGAACTATTCGTGTGTTTCATCAGGAAATTGGACTTTGAAAAAACACATTTGGTACTGAAATCAACCAGACACTTGATTTGGAACTTTAAAGGGTTTTGAAGCTTGACCTAGGAATGGAAAATAGTTCTTGAAGCTAGAATTGTCATAGAATATAAAAATGGCTATGTGAATAATGACACATTAATCTCTGTTTCTATCATATGAATCTTGAACTTTGTGGTTGAGATGAGTGGCAAATAAATTTAATAAATAAATAAAAATCAAATACATCATTATAAATTGAAATATTTTATCTGAGAAAAAAAGTTTACTACATTTAAATAGCACCAATAGTTAAAGTAATATACAGATAGTTCTCATTTAGTGGCAACAATTAGGAACAGAAACTTAGTTATTACACAAAGCACATGAAATTTTGACTGTGCTTATGATCTTATTTTCCCTTTCCTTTGCTTTAGAGACTTGCAAAGGTCATAAATACGAGAACTCTATGCAAAGTTATTTGTTCATCATTGTTGTAACCGTAAAGGATCACTATACAAACCACTAAATGAGGATTACATGTAGAAGACCAAACAATGTATTGAATATAATGTGTAGTTCATCTCCATTCAGCATTACTTCATTACATTGAGTATGGTATATTCAAGTTTCTTTGCTTAGCACTTAGTTCTTGGACAATCATTTGCCATCTTGTTTGGAAATTGCAATAACTGACGTCTTACCTATCTGGAAAATGTCAAATTGGAAAAGGCTTCTGGATAGAGCTTTTCAAGATCTCAGTTTCTGGTTCAGATGGTGTAAATTGAAATTAAAACTTTCTGAATGCAGTCATGTGCTTTTCTATTCAGATCTAAGTTATTGCCACAAATCCTTGCACTGAATGTTTGTAAAATGTTCCTGGCAAATAATGATCATGTATCATATAAACTGAGTGTGTGGAGATGTAGTACAAATCAAATTCCATGTAAGACCATAACTTTTATTACTCCTTCTTTCAAATAAATGTTAATTTCATTTTTTTTATTTTACATGTCAAAGGAACTTGTTATATATTCATGAGCATTATATTATTACTTCTACTACCGGGGATGAAATTGGGTTAACAGTAGAGAACAATAGATATTAAAAATACTAAAATGCATTAAAATGGTAAAATATGCACACACCAAACTCCACAAACAACACATATTATGTTGACTAAAAATGATTCATTTTTAAGTAATAAATTAAACTATGCTCATACAGAATCATATTGCTCAAACTTTAAATTTCATTGAGAAACAGTAAATTCAAAGTCAGAAATTGACCAAATTGTTTTTAAAATGCCTTTTTTGTGGAAATTTTTTTTGCTGTTATTTTTAGTTCTGGCCACCTCTCATCAGATTGCTTTAGTCATCTTCATATTAAATTGTTTCTGGCTTTGGCTGCTGATGCAGCTTTATGGAAGATTTCTACAGTGACCTTTACAAGAGTTCCCCAAATTTGGCAACTGATTGTTCATTAAGAGTATTATAGCAACACTGATATGTCTGATTTGATAAACATAGAAGTGCAGATAGATACGGCTAGCATCAGCAGAAGATCCCTGCTCCTCCCTAAATGAGAGGGCAACAATATTAATCTAAATATTTGTATGAATTTGACACTAACTATTACGATTTTAGTTATCAAAAGGATCTGTGGAATACTACTGTTGTTTCAGTTATTCAGTTATTTACTTGCACGGGCAGGTTTTGTTATTAGCATACTGAGTACGCTTGTTTAGTCAAAACATTTTTGCGTTTCTAGTTTTTCATGAACATGTGAATCATAGAACGAGTTGTATAATTACATATGTTTATTTTTTAAATACATAATTGCCACTTTAGTCTCTATTTATATTAGAAGTCATTAGACAACTCTGTAAATTGTACTTTCTCTCTCTTAACAACTAGAATCACCCAAAGGTCCTCACCCATCTGCAGGTATAAATGGAAATGTACAGCATCCCACCACCATTGGGCAGCAGCTGGTCTCTGCCATCCCCTCTCCAAGTGCCAGCAAGCCTTGGCGCAGCAAATCAATGAATGTCAAACACAGTGCCACCTCTACTATGCTGTCTGTGAAGCAGCAGAGCCCTGCAACCTCCCCTACGCCACTTGCAGACAGGCTTAAACCACCTCTTACTGAAGCTCCCAAAACACCTTCATCTGGGCAGAAATCTATGTTAGAGAAATTCAAACTGGTTAACGCTCGGACTGTTTTACGGCCCCCTTTGTCATCAAATTCAGGCCCTGCTGAGAGTGGAAAAGATGATGAAAATGTTTTAGAGTGTGGTGAAGTGGATGGCTTCAGTGGTGGACTCAGTACTGCTGGATCTACCACCAACAGCCCCAAAATATCCCCTAAATTAACTCCTCCGAAAGCTGGAAACAAAAATATCAGCAATAAAAAGTCTTTGCTGCAGCCAAAGGATAAAGAAGAAAAGAGCAAAGATAAAAATAAAGTTTGCACTGAAAAAGTGGTAAAGGATGAAAAGGAACAGATGCCCGAGACACCCACCAAAAAGACCTCAAAAATTGCAAGCCTGATCCCCAAGGGGAGCAAAGCAACTTCAGCCAAGAAAGAAAGTTTAATTCCTTCATCTAGTGGGATACCAAAACCTGGTTCAAAAGTACCTACATCGAAGCAGAATAGTTCACTAGTATCTTCAGGAAGTAAAGAGACAGAAAAGTTGAGGAATGCAAAAGGAAACCAGCCCCTAACTACAGCAAAATCCCAAGGGAATGAGAAAACCAATCTCTCAGCTTCTGAAGGAAATGAGGGCAGTGCTGGTCTTAATAGTACATCATTTTCTTCTCCTTCAATGGCTGCAGCCACTGGGCAAGTCCCAGGAAGTGGTGTTGTCCAACTTCCTCAGCAGCAACAATACAGCCATCCAAATACAGCCACTGTAGCACCATTTATTTATAGGTAAGTTGGGTTTACTCACACTTTATCCTTCTAACATCTTAAGAAAGAAAGAAAGAAAGAAAGAAAGAAAGAAAGAAAGAAAGAAAGAAAGAAAGATAATACATATATACGTACATACATACACATAAACAGTTGATACTTGAAATAGTGGGAAAATGTAAAATGGATCACGTAGAGACATCTTCCCAAGGAAATCAGAGAGCGTAAGGCAATTTAATTAGCACAATGGGACTAGTATTGCTGGATTTGTTTTTCCTGCTGGTATATTTAGCAAATATGTTTATCAAAAGGTTATCACTTTTTTTTTCTTTTCCCATCTCAACAATATTAAGAAATATAGTGTTGTATTACTTCCAATATCAGATATTACTTGTACTGATTGCACCTTAATTATTATGATTTTACAATAACAAAAAATACTGTTCACTAAACTATTTTAGCATTTTACCTTCATGTGGACTCTATGCAACTAGTTAGCCTCATTCTGTAGCATCAATAGCAGAATTAAAAATGACATATTTGTACTCATTAATTTTATTACCTTATTAGTGGTTTCTGGATAAACTTGGAGAAAGTATCTTTTAGAGGGAACCTTCTGTATTATTGATTTGCTTGATTTAATCTTTTTTTTTAATGGTTAGGGACTTCTATCAATTTTGCAATGAATAATTCAATAATTTTCTTCCTAAAAATTATTTTTGTTGTCATGAGAGAAAGTAATAAAAAGCCTATGTGTATAACAAAAATATAGTCATTTCACAGAATAAACAAGATATTCAATTTTTAAAATCTCATAAATATGTATTTAAGTTTCACATGCTTTCTAAGATTGTATATTGTAAAACTCTATTTTAACTGACAAGTTGCCTGTTAATATAGAATATCCATTAAACAGGAAATATATCACTGTAGCAATTTATGACATTTGAAGTAATGATATCAATGATGTCATTTGCAAGTTGTTATGTTAATGCTTCAAATGGGCACAAATATCCATCAACCATAAGAGTCTGAAGTTCCTTATTTATTATGGAGTGTATTCTAACATCGTCCGGAACAGAAAAGAGAAAAAGTTGGATATAACTAAAATCTATTTAGACCCCTGTTCTGTCTTGTAATGGCCAATTAGATGACTAGGATAAACTATCAGTGGAGTTTCATTGCATTGCACCCTCTGAATTGTGTTCCTCAACAAGATAAAGACAATGAGTTTTAATGTGTAACTATCATGACCATTAGCCATTCAGCCTTAAGAAAACAAATCTTAAGACCCAGGCATTCTCAAACATCATTTAGATATCTTAAAAACTGTATCTAAAGTATTCATTTATCCAATGTAAGTGTGGGGGAACTGGTTCTATGACAGGATTTTTATAATTATCTCAGAATTTAAATAAGTAACATATTTGTCACCAAGAATTAAAACCATAGACTTTTTTCAAGTTAAAGTTGGGTCACAGATTTTGAAATAATTAGCAATGGTTTCATTAATGTGAAAAATAGCAGTGAAAACTCATGGCTTCTTTTAGGCTATGAAAAATGTGAGTACTTGCATTCTGCTGTCATTTTTCTTGCCGTGGATTTCCCCCCCCCCCCAAATAAATGCTCCAGTATGGGTTTCATTTTTTAATTAGAAGAAATGCATGAAGTAGATAATTTGGAAAACAATTTCTTTATATCTTTCCTGTAAATTTGTTGCTAATGCTGGATTGTGAATTTTTCCCAGTTTATGGCTATTGAAGTTAATTCATTATACCAATTTTAAGTCCTATAACTCAATTTTTCCATTCTGTGCTAGAATAACATTATACCATTATAGGTGTTCAGGCTGTGAAAATAGTATTCCTGGCACCAGGACATTCTTCTAAGGTGTTTCTAGATTCTAACACTATTTTCACATATAAGGCTGAAAATTACCTTTGAATCTCTAAACTGTTAATTTATGAGAATGAGTGATAATTCATGTATTTGTACTTCAGATAAGCAACCAGACTGATATAGTTTTACTGACTGAAGTAAAATTATCTGAAAATTCATTTAAGAAGCCACCCTTAATCTAAGTGTGTAAGGCAGCTGCTTGCCTATGGCAATAAAGAACTAGAGAGATTATTGACAGTAACCAGAATTCTTTTTTTTTCCATTTATCCAACATAGTTATACAACAAAATTCACTTTACAAAATAAAATAAATTCATAATCATAACCATAACCATAACCATAGGTGCCGCTTGCTCGTTCCCCCCAAGCTGTATCCACCCTCCCTAATACCTTCCTTACTTCCCTCCTCTTTCTCTCCTCCCCTCACTACTCTCTTCCCCTCCCGTTCTCCTCTTACCATCCTACTTCCTCCCTTCACCTTCCTCCCTTCTCATCCCTCTCAACAGGAATACAGCATAGGGGAAACGCCCAAGCAGCACCTCTCTCATAAATTACCATATCTATATTATCCTATTTACCTATTTACCCACCCACTCACCCACCCACCCACCCTCAACCCCCCCTCACTTCCCAGAGCAGAGTACAGGGTTATTAATAACAAAATTAACAATATACAATAAAAAAGAAAAAAGAAAAAGAGAAAAAAAATCATACTTAGCCCTTAACTCCCCTTAATTTATATCATCATAAACAAATCTCTTAAACAACATTTACTATAAAATTTACTCATAAAATAAATGAAACTTTATAGTCCCATACTTCTTCTGAATATAATCTATCCATCTTCTCCATACAATAATATATCTTTCTTGTGTATGATCCTTTAAATAAGCAGAAATTTTTGCCATTTCTGCTAAATTAGAAACTTTAAATATCCATTCTTCTAAAGTAGGCAACGAATCTTTCTTCCAATATGAACCTTCTAGTAACCTTGCTGCAGTCAATAAATTCAACATTAAAATAGTTTCTTTATCATCTAAATCAGTGGTTCTCAACCTTTCTAATGCCGTGACCCCATAATACAGTTCCCCATCTTGTGGTGACCCCCAAGTGGGTGTGGCCACCAATAAGAGGGAGTAGGACAGCTAGGGAAAAGGGAAAAAAATGGCAGACAGCGTGGTTTGGCGACCCCCATGAAATGGTCGTTCGACCCCAAATGGGGTCCCGACCCACAGGTTGAGAACCACTGATCTAAATCCACAAAAATACCCAATAAAAATAATTGAGGAGTAAACTTTTAAAAATCTTTTGAATGTTCCACCAAATCATAATCCAAAAAGCCTTTACCTTTTTACAATTCCACCAAATGTGAAAATAAGTTGCATCCATATTACCACATCTCCAACATTTGGGTTGTAAATTAGAATACATACAAGATATTTTTTTAGGATTTAAATGCCACTGATAAAACATTTTATAAAAATTTTCCCTCAAATTTTGAGCTTGTGTAAATTTAACATTTCTAATCCAAATTATCTCCCATAAATCCAGTGGGATCGGTTCCTGGATATTCTGAGCCCATTTATTCATACAGTCTTTAACCAATTCTGTTTCTGAATCTAATTCTATTAAAACATTATAAATTCTTTTTATATGAGCCTGATTCTGATCTTTAATCCGAATTACCAAATTTTCATCTTCTAATGTTATTCCCTCTTTCTTATCTACAGTCCACCTGTCCACTATTTGTAAATATTGAAACCATGACTGTAGAATATTTTCTTGCCTTAATACATCTAAGGATTTTAAATGCCAGTCCGAACCTGACCAAATTAATAATTCTTTATACGAGATTTTATCAAAATTCATCCCCTTAGAAGTTCCCTCAATTGCGTGTCCAGGAATCTCCCAGATAGGTGTTTTATAATTTAACCTATAATAATACTTTTTCCAAACTCGAAGTAAAGCATTCCTCAAAATATGTGATTTAAAAGCCCTATCAACTTTCTTGTTAAAAATTAAATATGCATGCCAACCATACATTAAATCCCACCCTTCAAGATTAAGCCAATCACTTATCCAAGTTAAGGTGGCTGTATCATAATATAATTTCAAATTAGGTGCTTTAAGTCCTCCTCTTTCTCGGGCATCTTGCAAAATCTTAAACTTAACCCTTGGTTTCTTCCCAGCCCAAATGAATTTATTGATACCCTTCTGCCATTCCTCCAAATTTACATCTTTTTTTAAAATAGGTATCATCTGAAACAAGAAAAGAAACTTTGGTAGAACATTCATTTTTACAGCCGAAATTCTCCCCAACAATGACAATTGCAATTTTTTCCAGTCATTTAAATCCTTTTGTACTTTTGCCCATAATAATTCATAATTATTCTTATACAATTTTCCATTTGAAGCCATTAAATATACTCCCAAATATTTAACCTTTTTCACCATCTGAAAACCTGTAGATTTAACTAAAATTTCCTTATCCTTAATTGACATATTCTTAGATAATATTTTAGTCTTGTGATTATTAACTTTAAAACCAGAAACTTTCCCATACTGTGTTATAAGTTCTAATAGACAATCAACCGCTTGAGTCGGTTGTTCCAAAATTAAAACCAAATCATCGCAAAAGCCCGCAATTTATACTCATTCTTTTTGATCTTTATACCCTTGAGTACCGTTGATTCTCGAATCTGAATCAACAAAATCTCCATTGTTAAAACAAATAACAATGGAGATAATGGACATCCTTGTCTTGTTCCCTTTTCAATATTAAAAGTCTCAGTCAGTCCCCCATTAACAACAATTTGAGCAGATTGTTGCTGATATATAGCTTTAAGCGCATATAAAAACTTATCCCCAAAATTCATTTTCTCTACCAATGAGAATAAAAATTGCCAATCTAGTTGATCAAAAGCTTTCTCAGCATCCAAAAATATAAAAGCCACAGGAATCTGATTATTCTTATCCAAATACTCAATTAAATTAATAATTTGTCTTACATTGTATTTCATATATCGCCCTGTTATAAATCCTGATTGATCACTATGAATCAAATCCTTCATAACCTGCATTAGTCTGTTTGCCAAAATTTTAGAGAAAACCTTATAATCTAC